AAAAACCCCACCAAAAATGACTTCTATTGCTAGGCCGAGCCTGGTGGCTGAGTCTGTACATGTTAGGCTGCTAACTGCAAGATCAGCAGTTTGAAAGCACGAGCCTCTCCTCGGGAGAGGAAGGGGGCGGTTTATAGTTCCAGAAAGCATTGCCGTCTCAGAAACCCACAAGGACAGGTCTACCCTGTCCTGTCAGGTCGCCGCGAGTTGGAATTAACTCGATGGCAGTGACTGTTTTTGGAGTCTATTGATAGGACGGCCTGTAGAAGACCGCAGAGCAGTGCTGGTCTCAAGTTCTGTCTGTGCTGTGCTGACTCACCTCTCCCCTTCCTCCTTTTTTCCTCCTCGCAAAGAACCTTTCTTCACTTGCTAAATGCTATGTTTGTCTTACTAAGGCAGGTCTCTCGGACACCATGAAGCACGTAGGGATGTGTGTCCAATTTCCAAAGAGTTGCTTTAACGCCACCAATGTGGTGAGGCTAGGAATTGCATACCTTATTTCCTGCTCTGGCCCCCTGGATGCAACACAGTGTGACATGCTGATCCCTGCTCTTGCCAGCTGCTTCTGGGAAAGTCTGACATGATCAAACATGCTAATGGATGTGGTGCTGGCTGACTTGAAATTAAAGGCACCCAAAATGCTTACAGTCGAAAGTGGTTCTCTCTAAAATTTTAGCATGCTTCCTAAATCCAATTTGTGAAAGGTGTTTACAAAATTACCCCAGGATGTGAGGCCTGGCTCGAGCCAACCATCTCCCTTCATTTTAGTAGCACTGTCACAAAGCACTTCAAAGAACAACGTGGTAGCAGTATGAAATCAAACCAAAGGTCATCTCTCTCAAGGGATCATTGCTTAGGAGTGGTTTTCAGGGACATTCTGGGATATAAATCTACTGGTTTTGGAGTTTCCTTGTTACTGGTACTGAGATAGGTTTTCATTATTTTATTTTGTACCAAATACCTCATCATTTAGTACAAACACTGCATTTAGAGTTTGTCAGTGTGTTAGGCCGGGTACACTAGAGAAACAAATTCATAAACATGCATATGTGAATATGAAAGAGGTTTATATTCAAGAGCCATTAAATATTGAGGAAACATCCCAGCCCAGTCCAGATCAAGTCCATAAGTCTATTAGCCCATATGTCTGATACCATATAAAGTCCTTTTCTGACTCATGAAACACATGCAATGAGCCGAATGTAAGAAGGTCACAGGCCAGTGAGATGGAAGTCTTCTGGGTACAGTGGCGTTGTAAGCATCTCAGCGCTGGCAGGGGTCTCTACGTGGCTTTTCCAGCACCCAGGGCTGCATCAGGGTAGTTCCATGTGGCTTCTCCTCAAGGATGTCTTGCAGGGGGTCAGCCTCTGTCTTGCTAGTTGAGCATCTCCAAGGAAGTCAGCAGAGTAAGAATGTGTCTCCTGCCTCCAGGGAGGAAAATCCAGGAATTCCCAGAATTCTCAGGAGAAAGCCATGCCCACACAGAGGCCCGATTGGATCTGATCCAATTGACAGAGTAGACCCCACCCCTTCACTCTTAATCCTATCAAGTCTCAAATTGACACCGGATTATGTAACTACCACAGTCAGTAAGTATTTGGTAACCCCAAGTGTAACTTAGGTCACAAATACACACTGATAATAATATCTGTCAGTTGCAACACGTTTTAAGCACACGTGTTTGTGCATGTGTGCACACTACAGTTGTTGACATTATGCTTTTTATCTCCAGGTTCCCGTGCAGTGGTCAGATATGGTCACTTTGAAAGCAAGAATGACAAATTATGGTGTACCTAGATACCGATGGCTGACCCATGCTTGGAACTTTTTTCAGAGAGAGGTAAGCGCTCTGAGTTCTGAGGGAGAGAGCACAGTAGAGGGGCCCACATTGAAAACAACCATCCCAAACGTTGGCCTCTGATTTTTCTCTGTGCTGGAAAGTTACATCTGTGGTTCAGTTACCCATGATGCAGTGCCTTCTGGAGAAATGCCACAAATAACTCCATGCCCTGCTTTCTTTCCCTGTGTTTCATTTCCCCTACATTTCACCAGATTCATTTGAGGGTATCTGAGAAGTCATTTGGCTGAACAGCTGTGAAGTTTCTCATTTACAGGGAAGTTACTTGATAAATACTAAATTTCTTTTTTGAATTGATAATTTTTTATAACTTTTAGGGCTAACTTCCTCCACCCCAAATTGTGCTCCTTATTTAAGAATTAGAACTTGCTGTGTCATTAAAGGCATGAACTTTCTAGTTAGAAAGACATTGGTTCAAATCCTTCCACTATTGCTTATTCTTACCATTGCATTCCATGGTTTACTTAATCTCCCTAAGTCTTGGTTTCATAACTTGTAAAGTGGGGCTGGTAAAATTAACTGGCCCCATATCATGAAGCTAAAGTGTAAGGCTTTATCATTTGAGCTCCCTTTGTGACCCATTTTAAAGTTGTAATATTTTCTGAATTCTTTTTAATGGAGGTTTTTTAAATGTTTTGTCTAGTCATTGTTGGGACTTTTGTTTGTTTGTTTGCTTGGTTGCTTCCTGTCTGTGCTCTGTATGATTTTCTGGATACAAAATCCAGGAAAGATAGGTCTATAGAGACCATTACTGGATTGTAATTACCCAGGGGACATGGCGGGGGTGGCTTGGGGAAAATGGGGAGGTAACCACAGTGAGTATGAGAAGAAAATGTTCTGAAATCGATTATTTGTGAGGATGACACAGATCTTAATATGATTGGACAGTTAAATTGTATGATATGTCAGGGGCGTGTGGGGGGATTACCTGCTTCCTTGTGTTGTTGAGAAGATCGAACGAACTCACCAATCTTACTTCATTTAGAGTTTGATTATTAACCATAACATTACAAAGTATACAAGCTCCTTCTGTGTTCTCACCTAAGGGCACCATAGCCAGGTACCAGTGCTCTTCTCCAATGGGGACGAAATTTAGATGTGTAATAACTGGGGGCTTGAATTTAGCCATCTCGCTTGCTTCAAAGCAAGCTCATCTCCCAAATGAGCGTGAATGTTCGACTGCAGTTTTCTCTTGGCTGGGGGGGCAGGGGGCATGCTAGAGGACCATGTCTTTTCTTTCATTTCTCTTCGACTTGAGTCACGGCGAATGTGAGGATCCATGTCTTCCACTGTAGGGGCATAGAGGGTAGTTGGCTCGCTGTCCGCTCAGTAAGACTTTCCTGGATAGAAACAGAGGTTCAAGTCCAGGACAGCCTCCGTATCTGGCTCTTTGTCTCGTAGTTGTTGAGATGATCTCCACAGCCCAGATTTCCTGTTGATTTAAATGCTTCCTAACTTTGTTTGTTTATTGTGCATTTGTACTAAAAACAACATGAAGCGAACAGGAGTGGAGCCAGAGGGAATTCGGAGTAAGCTCAGATCCGTTGCTGCTGCCGGGGCAGGGCCTTCCTTGAGCTCTGTGTTCTCTGGAACTGGTGATGCAGATCGTGATAATCACCCTTAAGAAAACACAGTATGTTTTTGTCTGCCCCTTGAAGAGCCCCCACCTAGATGGACAATGCATACGCACTGGACACAGCAGCACACTTATTTTTAGAGTTGTCACATGGTACATGTGCTCCTTCGGGTCGCAGGCC